TTGAAAGGTGCATTAGTTGGTTAGAGTTCTACACTGGAATTGCAGGGCCACAGGTTCGATTCCTGGAGGAAGACCTAGTGTTCTCAACCGTTCCTGGTTACAGTAGGTCTTAAATTGTGTATGCATATGCTCCCACTTGGATTATGCACTATTATGCCAAAAGGGTTAAATTGACAAATGTTTGCAGTTATGATTTGCATGTGAAATTATCTGTCATGTAGCCTAGGTTGGCATATTTTTATATAAGGATGCATTTTAAAATATATTTGAATTTGTAGCTGAAGTTGTTTATTTCATATTTTGTATGGTTCAAAAATTGTGAAATAAATATTCTGTTCATTGTCCATTTGTGTCTATTTTGGTAGCAATGCATTGTATGCAGATGCATGTAATGCTGTTGGAGTCGCTGGATTGTTCCCCAAAGTTTGTCAACAAGTAGATATTTTGCAGGTTTCTCTTGTAAGCCTTAAATTAACTCATTGAGCCGCAAAGTGCCCCAGTGCGCCCTACTTATTTTTTTACTAGTACTTGTCTAACGCCTGACGATTTTACTTGTCAATGGGGAAGCTCTGCAGCTTAATGGGTTAATGAAAACATAAGGGTATATATTTTATTGGATTGCACAAATCACATGAATGAAGTTGAATGGATAAACCTTCATTTCATAAACATTCATGAACCTTCATATCATATTTAAACTGCTTTATCTCAAGAGGTTGTGCATGGCCTGAAGCTCTTTATAGTAATGAGTTAGACCTATATTTTCAGCACACCTGTCTGTATATACTGTATAGTTGTTGGTATAGTTGTTGCCTGTGAATGTCTGTTGATATTTTGATTGGAAAATGTTTGGGATTTGTTGTTTTACATTGTTTTGATGCAATGATGCATCTGCTGAAGTTATGGATAGTTCTTGAAAATATTTATAGCAGGTAATTTAGCTGGAATACTTCATGAGAGGCTGAGAGCAATTTTATCCTTGCCATATTAAATGTTTATCAGTTTATTTATAATTTAATTATGCAAATCATAGTGGGCATTGAAATTTACGTTCAAGTCTTTTTTTTGCAAATAAAAAGATGCTATAAATGTTTCAAGTGTGAACAGTGAGCTACTTAGCACTGTAGAAAATGGCGAGCAGGAACTTTTTGAAAACAATGGAAAAGAATACATATATTAAGGACAAAAATCTCAAGTTTTTAACAAAATAATTGATAAAACAAAGATAAACTATATTTTCCCATTTAAGATAAACTATATTTTCCCACTAAAGTCGGAAAAAAGTGGCATTAAAACATTTATAAAATGCATATTCTACCTGTGGAATGAAATAGCAATTCTACTGTTCGATGTCACTTTCCAGACTCTTATTCGTACAGTTCTACGCCGCTCATTCGCGCTCAAGACTGTGGCATTGTAGTTTTGGATAATAAAAACAAAGCCAGGTGGGTGTTGCTCAATATTTTAGCCAAAAAAACTAAAATCAGAACGCTTTAAAACACTTCAAAACGGCCGAGAACTTCGCAGAACGCTCGAAAACTAATGTGTTTATATGGAAAAAAATTTCCCGCGTTTTTTTTTTGCCCGCCTGTTCCGCCATCTTGGATTGTTCAAAATGTCACGCCTCGCGAGCTGAGTCGGCGATCTATACCTCCTATATCTATGAGCATACCGTATACTATTCGTTCAAAAAATGCGCGCATTTCGGAGACTGGTTCTAGAATGTTTCATAAGCAGAAAACCACCAAAATTACATTAAATTTTCCGAAAATCATCGAAATGCATCTAAATTCATCTTCCCAATGCATATAGCTAGCTATGCGACAGGTAAATAAACGAGAAAAAAAAACAATTTCGGCAAAAAGAAAAATTCAAGTTCGCTTGCGCGCACTCCGGAATTGAACTCACGACCCTCAGCATACGCGCCGAGTGTTGTCCCCTTGCTCTACCACGTCTTACACGGAAAATATGTTAATTAATTGTATATATACAAGTTATTCTTAGCCAGCGCGATTTATGATTGCGTAAATACGTACACCATTGTACACGGTCGACTCAATAAGCCTAGTATAACAGCGATATTTTTCAAACTATAAGTAAACAAACATAAAACTAAAATAAATTTTACTTATCTCAAGATGTCTTTTAAATGTTTTCGTTTTATTTCCAGCGTTGATTTCGTTCTATGTATGAACCAAAGACCATTTGTGTTTTCAAAACAACACCAATGAAAATGGTGGGAAATTTTCGAACTGCGTACTCCAAGCGTGAAATACGGAAAATGCGCGCATCTGGTCCCGGATGTAAAACACCATTGTCCATATAATAATAAATAATCCACAAGTTAGCTCTTCGTGTTGTAGATTACGCTGATCTGAAACGTATAGACAGATATGTGCCACTTCACTATAAACGTAAATGGCAGTGCAATGAATGCAGTATTGCAAAAGAATTCTTGCAGAGGTTGAACGTTTAAAAAACGTCCTGCAGAGACAATCGGCTGAAAAAAAATTATGATCCTAAATTTTTGTAGCCTTCCCCCCCCTTCCTATATTTAGAAATCGTGCCGTATTTTCAACACAGATTTGAGACCATAGTGTAAAATTGAGCAAGAAGGGATAATTTTTATATCTCATATATTGGATTTTTTAACGTCTAACATGTCAGGTGCGCCAAGGTAAAGGAATTGATAGAGAATTGCTGTCTATGTACAATGAAGCCACTGAAAAAATGCAGAGTTCGAAATTGAAGCTAAAAGCACTCTTCAAGTGTTTATCAAATCCAGTTTTCACCTTACAGGCATTCTTAGAGGTACATGTATTAAGTTTCTATACTTTGTCTTTGTCGCATGATGTATACTACTACTACTGCATCTACTGTGATGTTGCATTTGAATCAACTAAAAATACAACTAATCGAACGTCAGTCTGCTCAATTACTGAATTTGACAAACTAGGACTGGATAGAGTATCCTTTTGTTTTCAATGAGTCAATTTTGAAGCCAGAATATATATATGCAGCATATGCGCCCAGCTTTATAAATGTATCTAATAGTATATAGGGTGTATAGTTTAAAACGTCCACTAAGCTAAAAAATTCCGCAAAATGTTTGACAAGTTTATGTTATTATGGGTAGTCTTGGGATCTTCAGGTATCTCTATCACAAAATTATTCTGGAAAATTAATTTTCCAGTGCAGCAAGGTTGTTTTTTCACTCCCACAGGGTATGAGGTATTGAGGTATGTCCACCATGTAGGAAATACATGATGCATGCAATACTTTTTGTTTAGATAACATTTGAGATTATCATGTTATATGTATCTATATTGGAACGCATTTTTAGGCCGCTACAAAGTCCCACATTCTTTCCCTGTTAACTATGTCAGAAGATTTGAATCAAAATATTGATGAAGATACTGTTGATCAACTTTTACGCAAGTGGAAACATAACGCTGTACCAAAAGAATTGAAAGGTTTGTTAACATTGTGTTGTTAGCCTGCACATAGAAACTAAGTACAGAATTAGTAAGTTCTTACCATTTGTTTAGCATTCGTCATCAGCGTTCAGCAAAACCTATAAAATTGGCTCGGAAAGATGTAATGTGTGAACCTACCCTTATTCTATTTGTAGAATATCTGAAAAGGAGCTTAAAGAGGTGGCTACCAAAAACCAAAATTCAAGAAAGATTTCAAAATTACAAAAAGGAGCCAGAGTCTCATCACGGCAAAAGGAATAGGTAATCAAAGGCCGTTGAGGCCAATTCACGGATCAGATCAAATGAAAATGACAGAAAGAGCAGTTTGCAGTTGTTTTTGCAAACGAGCACCGTGCGAATTTATGTAGGCCCAGCACCCGTTTATCCAAGTTTTGAAACGTTTACCTGACAATAAATTGAAGAGACATATTTAAATAAAATGAATTAATTTTACATTAAAATGAATCCTATTGTACTCCAAATAAAGGCACAAAAGTACATTCTAGAATTTGAAAGTTAACCATGATTCTGCAATTAAAGATTGTTTACCTTTTTCTTGAATTTAAGAATTTTGCAGTTTGTAAAATTAAAAATATGATTTTGATGTTACCATGCAAACCAACTGCTGTTGTTTGCAACCATGAAATACTTCATGTTGAAACAATATTTTGGAATTATAGTTGCTCTGTTAATGCGAGGGGTTGGTGCATCATTGTATTTCTGGCTTATATTACGATAATTTAAAGGGGTTTGTGTTTTTTTCAATTTTAAAAATATAAATAGCAAAATGATCATGTTACCATGACAACCACGTCAAATGCTTCTTGTTTGGAAAATATAGTGGTTTTACTAGCAAAGCGAGGGGTTTCTGCATGCATGTAGCTATTTCTAGTTTATATACAGGGTGCATGTATAAAAAAAAGCGCAATCCTCGACTGAAATGTAAATTGCTAAACAAATAATAGACGAAAACGTTCAAGTTTACATTCATTTTAAAGGGTAGCCATTCAGCTTTCTAACAGTGGGTTGTTTCTTAAATTTGACTCATTGGTTCGCGGGTAATAATACTTTACGTTATTGTGATTGGAGATTAAAAAAATTGAGATGGAATAACAAATCGTTCTCATGAAAATAACTGATTTTTTCATTAAAACAAAAGAATGTTGCATTTTATTAAATGGATTGTAACAATAAGTATAATTAAGGATTTTCTTCCACTATTTTTAACTCAGTTTGAAACTTCAAATGCGATATAATTTTGGCTTGGACCATCTAAGCTGACTGACATCAACTAGCTATAATTTCTGTTTACATTATATCGCAATTCGATGACACTCTGGCTCAGACACCAGAATGTTTTGACGATTTTTAGCATTCGTTTAGGATTTTCAAACAACCTGGTCTCTTTTAAAATCCTTTGATTTGTTCTTACGTGCATGATTTTCCAGATGTAGTGACGACAACATTAAAGTTTAAAGAAGAAAATTCTAACATTTAAACCGACTAAACAATAACATACTAAACTTGCATAATTAAACAGCAACTAAAAATGATAGGTTTTACTAAATCTTTTCATGTGCAATTATTACTTGTTTGAAAGAGAAAAGAACAGGCTTTGAAGTAAGCCTAAAAGCGTTTAACTAGAAATAGTATTTCGAAAGTTATTAAGCACAAAAGATGAATTGCGTTTATTTTGATACACCCTGTATATATAGGTGTTTTGCGAAATTGAGAGCAATTTCAAATCTGTTCAGTTTTTTTTATACACCCTGTATGTATATATATATATATATATATATATATATATATATATATATATATATATATATATATATATATATATATATATATATATATATATATATTAACAATAATAACAATAATAACGTTACACGAGTGGAATCGTAAACGTGGGAAACCACAACATTCACATACAACATTGCCAGACTAATAGCTGGCTATACGCATTGAAGGACTAACCTCCGAAATGCAACTTGAACATCATAACTTAACAAGTCGTTCTCAGCTTGACCTTGTAGCTCAGAAGGTAGAGCATCGTTCTAGAAATGCGAAGGTCGCGGGTTCGAATCCCAGCCGCGGTCAAGTAGAATTTTCTGCTTGCCCGGTTTGGTATACACTCGTCTGAAAAACAACTCGAAAACCACTACATAACGTTACACGAGTGGAATCGTAAACGTGGGAAACCACAACATTCACACATATATATATGTATATATATATATATATATATATATATATATATATATATATATATATATATATATATATATATAGTACAATCTGCAGACATGCATGTTTCGGCGTTCAACGCCTCGTCAGTGCAGCTTGGTACACGTCTAGATACGTGAGGCACTCGTATTTATACCCCATAAACTTGCTCTCACCAAGGCATGTGGTACAACACGGCGCTCAACGCATCCAGACATGCGCAGAGCGTAATGGTATATATATATATCGTTACATCTGGGTCTGAACTTGCGTAATTCATTTGGTTTTCCACCACTAGAAGGAATTTTGCATGCGCGCGGAGCTGAATCTGCTCAGACAAAGAAAGAGCTACGAAAAACGTACTATACGCCTGCTCTGTGGTTAATAAGCAAGTGCATCAAAACTTTTCTCCTTGATATCAGTCCAGTCGCTTTAGTATTCTTGTCCTGGCCATGATAACAAATTTGACGGAAAAGTATTTGTTGGAACATATTCTGGTTTGGGAATATCTTGTGACCCAGTTGGTATATTTGACGTCTGGTTGGTACATCATCAATGACACACTGATTTTCATGACAAGCGTTTGTCTTGGAAAACCTAGGTTACCGCGAGCATAATTTCGAGGTAACCCAATTCGGTTTTCACCACATGCCTCTCTCCTCCGCAGAGGCTTACATGAAGTTTCTAGTGAGGGAAAAGTGAGCGCGCAAGTAGTGATGGGAAGAGCAAATCTTCACGTCACTTCGCGTGCGCTCACTTTAATCATGGATAATAAAATAAATGGATAGGACTCTAGCTAGCAAAAACAACCCAGTTGCAATCTGTGACGTCACGCGTATTGCAAAGTTCTCGGCATTTTTGTTGTTTCGCTAGACTTTCTGCTTTAAAAGAGTAATGTTGAAGCATATACTGGTCTAATTGTTTAAAAAACATGCCTAAGCCACGACAAAGTATTCAAGGTAAATGTTTTTCGTCTTTGTTTTGTATTTTTTTACATTTGTAGCTACGAAATTGGCGTCCCCAATTTTAACGAAATTTGGGATGCCTTTTTCACTGTTTAGTGCTTGAAATATTTGCTAAAATTGACTGGGAATACTTAGAGATTTCATCGTAGAATGGCGTAGTTATATTCATTTGCTCTTTGACTAAAATGTTTAGCTGTATTGTTGCTAAACATGCCGTTTTTGAGAATTTGGTTTGCAACTAGGTTTCAACATCCAATCACGCCATCAGCCCATTGAAAACATTAGGTCACGTCAGCTAGTTTTCTATCCATTTATTTTATTATCCATGCTTTTATTAA